GCTAGGTGTATCTGATACCAGCTCACCCAATGTGTCATCTGTTAAGCTTTTATTACTCAAGTTAACCACATAGATATTTAGTCCAAGTTCACCCTTTTAGATCTATACATATGATACATACAGTGTCAGTTCGTCTAGTTCAGTGAATCCCATCAAGAGAAAATCATGGATCCGATCTTTCCAACTCAAAAGGAGTGGCAAATTACCAACCAGTGGCCATCCAGGTTGTGTCTTGATACCTTCTCGGACTTCATCAAAGATAGCTCGATCGTGATAGATCAATGATAAGGCGATCAGGCCAGCTGCGGCTGCACCACCAACATATCGAAGTGTACGGTTCTGATTTCCAGGCATAATAATGAATAAAAAGAAAAAGAAAAAAAAATAAAAAGATAAAGGGCTTTATATTTAATGCATGCTAAAAGATTGGGGGAAAGACTTGTTATTTCTTCATGTGAAAATTGTGGGGTAAAGAAAAGACAATGCGAGATAATCATTTTGCTTAAATAGTAAAGCGAATGCTGACTAACATTTGTATATTCAAAACGGGAAAAGATTCATAAAATGTCGACGTGGGTTACACCAGCATAAACTTTTTTTTCGGGTCTTTTGAAAGGAAACTAAAGGCTACTCGAGTGAAAGTTACATTATACGTGGATGTTACAACTCAAAGTGACATAATTTATAGAATATGCTTTTAACAATAGCTTTGTTTATGTCCTACTACTCTATGAGGTTTATATCAGCAATCATACAGTTTATAGTAATCCATTGAATATATTTATACTTTACTCATAATATATTGACTGTTTTGCATTTAAAAAGCAATAAAATTGAATTTACATAGCAAGTAGAACCTTTAGTCGTACAGCACCTATATATAGCCTCCCTTTTACGTGATAGTTTTTGGATATTTTCTACCAAGTCAATAGAATCGTACTACTCACTCATAGCATTATGCCATGTCTCACAAAGCAAATTTTGATATACTCTAGCCTTGCCGTCAATCCATTGACAGAGCTGTCCAATAATCGAATGTCTTTTTATGGCGTTTAAATGCTTTTGCAGTTAGGGAGCGTATTACTTTTTTGAATTTTGTAGTGCATCTAGTATTACCCTTTATAATAAACAAAACAATATCCACGCAAAAAGAATCTACAACGCAATAAGTAACTATACTAATCAATCTTGGCCCAAAAATAAGAGTTTACAATTTTTCAAACGCAGTGTGTTTCTTTGTAGATGATCTAACTGATCCAATATCTATCTTGGGTAGGGTTAATAGTGAAGAAGATCAGTTGAAAGTATAAGGGTGGAATGATCACAACATCTAAGCTTGAAACGGAAGTAACAATGATTGGAGCAACACACCATTTCCAGAAAGAGATGTCGCGCTGACCTGTCGCTTTTTTGTATAAATTGCATTTAAAAATTGCAAAAATGCAATTCTACTTTCTGAAAAGACTGTATACATATGTACTTGCTTTATCTGTTCAAAATGCACCTTCAATTGACATATCCTTAACAATTAACAATAGAATAAGACAATTGTTACATTCCAGAAGCTCATTGGACAATGAATCGGTCTGTAGATTACTGTTCCATACATTGTAGGCCTTCATTGTTTTATACTACTCATTGTCTATGACACACAAGTATAAAAAGGATCCTCCTTTTTTTTCCTTCTGAAGCTTTAGTTTTTTCAATATTTAGACTATGACTATCAGCTCAGAAGAACCTGAAGAAAGAGAGATTCCTAGCCATTTGTATTATTTAGGTACATTGATATTTTTTTTTTCTTTGATACATGTGCTTACAGATATATTCAGAGGAGAGTGTCAATTTACGAAAGCTTCGAAAACTAGACCTAATAGATATCCTGCTTCAGAACGGCATTGAACATGATCCTAATATGGGAAGAAACAAGCTATTGAGGTTATTCAATAGTAGAATATATGCTAACCGGTTACAGCTCCTGAATGAATACTGGCAATCTTTAGCACAACCTGAAACAGGGAGTGATTCTTCTAGCCTTTACTTTGATGCAACTGATCGATCTTTCACACAAACTGAAACAGAGAGTGATTCTTCTAATCCTTATCTTGATGCAAACGACCACTTCAGCACTGATTCATCGCGTTTATCTCCTGCATTGAATTCAACGCACCACACATCCCACAGCTCGCTTGAAGCTGATTTGCCTGATATGTCACATTATAGTCGATCGTCGCCAGCTCCCACCACAGAACCTCAGGTTGGCTCTCAGGCTATTGAATCAGGCTCCTCTCAGGTATCACCAAGCACCAGCTATGGCTATTTAGCTCCTAAGCCGTTTTATCATCAAGCGTCTTACCTTAGACGACCCCTATTTAGTGAAATCCTGCCAGAAATCCCTGAAGACGACCCTTTAGCTATTAGCAGAAGGTCGGAGCTTCCCGTTGCTACCGAACTTTTTGGCACATGGATACCTCGGCCACTAGCAAGCGACAGCCGAGGTTTTGCTGCTTATAGGCCTCGCTGGCGTCCTGATGTATCTGCTTTCCCGAATATATTTAATCCTAGGCGGTGTTTTCCTAACACAATATCACCACCCCAAGATTATGATTCTAGCCTTGGGTATATGGCAAGGCCGCGTGGCCCATTTGACTTTGGCATTGCATCCTCAGGTTCATTCCAGGCATCACCAATCAACAAACACAATATTGCTGCTCTTCAACGGTTCTCTCATCGTCTAGCAGTCGCAGATTTTCCTAGAGTAACTGATGACAGAGAGCCATCCGGATATGGTAACCTTCCGTCCGTCATTGAAGATTTCGAGCTACCCACTGGTTCTTTGTTCAAATATTTCATTAGAGGGATCTTCAGAGAGTTCATCTTTTTCTTGCTTAGAAACTTTGTACCCACTCTCTTGACGCTCATGGTCTATGGTTCAATGTATATGGGCATGGAAATCACGCGCTTCATCTCAACCGAACAGCCAGAGATTGATCTCTTGTTGGTACCTATTGTCTTGTTCCTCTTTACTGCTACTGTTACTGAACTATGGAAAATGTATAATGACTTTATCAAAAGGCGTACTCGTCAAAGGCTTATCAATGCAGTGGTGGACAGGATTCTTGATGAACTCAAGCGTAAATGCGCTCTCTGGGAGAGACGTTCGTTTTTCCATCCTCATTCGTCGCTACCTATCAGGCACTTTTATAATCATTTTATTCAAGCCTATCCAGACCAGGTTAATCTTTGGGAAGAGGTGTTCAATGCTATTGAAAATCATCGGGATGTTACGACTATTAGAAGATTAGAGGATGGAGAAGAGGTTGATGCTTGGGACTATAGGCCATATGTGCTGAATTTTATGTAATACATTTAGAATTTATTTTTTAAGCAGTACTTTTTTATAAAGAGACACGAAATGGCATTGGCCATCATTGTTCTTTTTGGGTAATACTAGAGATACTATAAAAGGGAACTGCAAAGGCATTTAAACGCCATAAAAAGACATTCGATTATTGGACAGCTCTGTCAATGGATTGACGGCAAGGCTAGAGTATATCAAAATTTGCTTTGTGAGACATGGCATAATGCTATGAGTGAGTAGTACGATTCTATTGACTTGGTAGAAAATATCCAAAAACTATCACGTAAAAGGGAGGCTATATATAGGTGCTGTACGACTAAAGGTTCTACTTGCTATGTAAATTCAATTTTATTGCTTTTTAAATGCAAAACAGTCAATATATTATGAGTAAAGTATAAATATATTCAATGGATTACTATAAACTGTATGATTGCTGATATAAACCTCATAGAGTAGTAGGACATAAACAAAGCTATTGTTAAAAGCATATTCTATAAATTATGTCACTTTGAGTTGTAACATCCACGTATAATGTAACTTTCACTCGAGTAGCCTTTAGTTTCCTTTCAAAAGACCATTTTGCAGTTTGAAGAGAGTATTACCTTTTTTTGGATTTTGCAGTGCCCCTAATATTGCCCTTTTTTTTAGACTGAGAAAGTCGCGTTTGAGAACAGTCTTCCCGAGTATCAATAAATTTATGACATGAAAAACCTACAACAACATAGAAACTATCTTAAACAGATGTACCATTTCAAGGAACACTTGCCACATGTGACAGGTGTGGTCTTATATTACGTCAAATGAAGATATAGCTTATGTATACTAAAGCCTCCCTCCTCTTGTTTATAGATAATAATAATAATATGATGAGGTCGTTCATTGTTTTGATATTCAAATAATAAAAGGTTTATACAAACGGTTACAATATATTAATAAAATCCATATTGGCAAGTCTGTGGTGTGTCTTGAACCAAGGACAACTGTTGGGGAAAGTAATCATGCTGGATCTCTTGTGGTGTAAAGACATCATATATAGAAAAGGCATCTGTCGGTGTGGATTGTAAAGGGGTATAAAGACTTTCGTTTTCTTCTTCTATTAAAGGAGGAATATATAATAAGGGGGTTGATGTCGTCATGGGCACAAAAGACATGTCCATAGGAAATATGGGCTGCAGGGTGGTTGCATTAGGTGCTGTCATGGTACGTGTATGATATTTAGTATGTTCTTGTAATGTTTCTGAAAACACTGTGTAGGGTGATGATTCCTTATATAGTAAACTTAATGATTGTGGATTGGCACTACCTAATAAACGTGTCAATTTTTTCTCTTGTGCTTTTCGTACTTTTCTTACCATAGACTTTTTCCAATTGTTTAGATATTTGCTTAGCATCATCTTTATTCTTTCGTTCGGCTCCTTTATCTCTAAACAACTTGATCTTGCAATAACATGCCTCTTGTTCGTTCTCTGTCTTGTTCTCCATGTGAGCTCGAAGTGGGATCCCCTTGACACCCTTAATCCTTGAGAAATCGGTAGAAAGACACTTGAATCGTATATATATTTTTGCACCCATACTTCCATTCCATTCAAACGAGATCTTGTCAAAACTAGGCATGATGGCATTGACAATGCCTACTGACTGAGATAGATCTACGTTGAAGGATCAATACCTCTTGCTGAAAGGGGAGGGGGTCAGAAGGTATTACCTATATCAATCGCTCGTGATTCCGATTGCTTCTGTTGTGCTAGCCAATAGTTCCAATAATTCTCTGCTATACTTCGATGTGACGCATTATGAAATTCAATCGAGAGACTGCTTGTGATCGTTTCATTCTGGTTATACGTGTCTGTCAGTTGAATACAGTAGAGTTGACCACGATTCAGGTACGTGATTGAACTCTCTTCTGCTCGTTGAGTGACGGCAGTGGCGGCTGAAAAAAAAAAAGTGTAAACATTACTGCACAATTTATCAAGTTGTAAAATACCTCAATTTACCTTCTAAAACAATATGAAATCGAAGCTTTCTAATTATACATAAATATATGTGTCAGCAAGAGATACATTTGCCCCTTCCCCTTTTTAGCACCCTGTTATACTCCCTATACTCTCTTTCTCTCTCTCCTTCTTTTGCCACTAGTATAGTTTACCTTTGCTTTTCATCCAATGATTCTTGCTGAAAATACATGGGTGGCTTTACCATCATATCGTTCGCACTGAAATGACGATAGTGAGGCCGAGAACCATCTTGTGTCTGAAGATTGAAATATTTTGGTTCGATGGGATTTGAAAAGCAAAAGTTTTCAATAGGGTTCATGTAGAAAATAATAAGTGAGAGAGAAAGAAAAGAAAGAAGAAAAAGAGAGCAAGAGCTAAAACAATGTAGATCCTCTTTATAGCTCTTTCTCTCACATGAGAATATAAATATCACAAAAAAGGGAAGGGAGGAGGGGTAAAGAAAGGAGATGATATAACAATACAAGGTAAAAAAGAATACAAAAGAGAGAGAAAAAGAGAGATAGAGAGAAATAAGGAGAATTGATATATGTGTGTACACACATCTCTTTGACTTTATATATTCAAACAAAATAAGCAAAAAAAAAACGCGCGCGTGAATGTGTAGAGAAAGAGAAAAAGAGAAAGGTATATTCATAAAGTAATACCATCTCTCTCTCCTATTTATTTTGACTGTACTTTCTGCCTAAAGAAAATATATATAGTCTGCAGTATATATGCAATATAGTGTTCTTCTTAGCCTAATAAACTGCATAAATTATACAAATAGATAAAAATAGTCCTTTTTAACATTACGAAAAGCGGGAAACGTGAAATATCTTTTGACATACAGGAGAGAGAGAGAAAGAGACTTGTTCTTCAAGCCTAAAATAGGAACCCATGTTGACATAAATCAAGGAGGGGAAATAAGATGATACAAGACTATTTCTTTTCTAATCTATCTCTGTCTGTCTGCTTATATCTCTATTTCTTTTTACAAAGCATATAACCTGCATATAGACCTCATTTAAGCATATCTATCTATACCCTATTCCTGGGAATTGTAAAAAAAAAAGGAGGGTCAGATAGATGCTATGCATATACCCAAAAACCATAGGGAGTGAATATACACTTTATCAAATACATTCACCAATAGAGTTATGTAGTGTAGATCTATTTATGTAATGCATGCACCTCAATGTTAAGATACATAAATATATACAATCTAGGCTTCTTTTCTTTTTCTCCCTCCCTTTATCACGATATACGCGCATGTAAATGTAAAACATGTAGTTTATTATCCTTCTATTTTCTTGATCTATATATACTATCACCATTCCGATCCATCAAAGCCGACAAAACCCTAAAAGAAAAAAGGGAGAAATAAGCAAAAGGGATTTGCAAAAAAGAAAGAACCTACAGTCATCAGGAAGATAGGGAAAAACTTTTTCTTTTCAATATTAGAACACCCTAAAAACCCAAAACGTTATTTCATATCCCTTTCTTATTTAAAGCTGTCCTTACAATTCCAGGCTGATGTCAGTCTTCCGTCTATACAGCTACCAGCATCAAAGTAATTGTCTGCTCCTGAACCATCAAAGCCATGTCTAAAGAAATCATCTAAAAAGAAAGGGTTTATGTTTGTTTGTTTTTATCATTATCTTTTTTCTTACAGAGTATATCCTTTCGACACTGCTCTACGCCTCCATATTCCTTTTGAACATAATCTGCCACTTCAGGGTCATCTAGTGACCCTAACTTATCTAATGTGCTCACGATGGGTGTCAAGATACGAGCCACTTGATTATACTATACGAGGGGGTGAACGATGAGCTTTTGCATATTTTTTTTTTCTCACCTTGTCTATAAACATAAACGCGTTGGGCACATTCTTATCACCTAAATGAACCACGCTACTACCCACCCAGGATCCACACTTCTTTTGAGCACGGTTCAAGATCTTGTGCATTGCCTTTGAAACATGAGGACAGGGTTGTATACGATTCAGACCTTGACCTGTGTTGGTAAGTCGGTAAGATGTGTGCGATAAGAGATCTTCATCTGCCATCTTCCACAGCATAAACATCTCATGCATAATCTCACGCCACAGACTGAGCGATTGGTGAACATAGGCATATTGCGTCGAATGTGAATGCGTTAGACGATGTCCATGTCGTCCGGCAGAGATAGCCAAGGAGTATCCATCATCATGTTTGGTAGGATTAAAGTATTTGGAAAGGTACTTTAACATCCTGTCACATGGGTCTCTATCCTATATGTAAGCAAAAATAGACATACACGCGCAAATGCTGTGTTTGTTACCTGTTGGCCTTTAAGAATGCATTATTATCCGAGATGGACAGTATGCATCTCTCGATATCTTCCTTTGATATCTTCTCGTTGGCGTACTTTTCACATAAAGTTCGAATTGCATGTTGCTTACGTTGTACCTCTCCATCCACTTGTTCTCTCGTCTTAAACTCTGGTGCGATCTCACGGGTGGCCAAGGCAATATTATCATCATGCAGTAGATCAATGCAATCTCGGCTCTTTAAAAAGTCATACACCGTCTTGATGGGTACAACACAAGAAAAGCCAAGATATTCAGCTACTTCAGGGATAACCGAATCCTACATACTGTTATCATATGCGCTCTACATATTTCATTCACCCCTACCATCAACATGTACATCAGTTTGCCATAAGTCGATCGCATCTTTTCCGGGTTCATAATTTTGTGTCTTCTGCCGACTTCAAAGATACGTTGAAACAGTACTTCATTTTCGCGTAGATTGTTTTTTGCAAAGTAATCCACTCCTTGTTTATAATTTCCTGCAACAAATAAGCCCGAGATAATGGCGCATAAATCTCGGATTTGGACAACAATTCTTTTTGATTTATTTGAATAAGAGATGATGTCCACCTTGTCTATATATAAAGCATATGTTGGTATCCATGGATATCCTCATTTTATCTCTATTACCCGTGTATTCTGATACGTTCAGTGCAGCATCCAAACTAACAATAATCATATCAGCTATTTGTATATTTCTCGTTTTTTCTTTAATAGTTACAGTTTGAGTAATTGTCTTTCTTCTGAATCCAGACGTAAAGGAATATTCTTGGATCTATACATAGTTAGCAATTATACATGACAATCATAACGTGTGTACCGATTGGTCATATAGTCTCCAAAGGTAGGTCCACTGCTGTTAATAACTGTTCCGTCCATTTCCAGCAATGCTTGTTTCATATTGACATCCTCTTCCTTTTGTTCTTGCTTTATTTATTATTTAGCATATATCTATTTTTTTTTTTTTTAGATCTATTACCTTGGTGTTTGTGTTGACATTGACAACATCGTGACTTGAATCGGACTGATCAACACGATGATGAACTGACAATTTTTTTGCTGTATGAAGTCTACGACTACCTGTTCTGTGAAGCATAGCTAATACCACTATAAGTAAAATATATCTACATACATACATGCACATACCGTGACAGACTTCACAAAAGTCTTCATCACACTGTTCACAAAAGATAGATGCCTTATAGAAAGTCAATATAATGTAAAATATAGTTCCATTCTATTTACTTCTTGGTCGTTACATTCTACACAAAACAAAGGCTTTGTGTTGTTCTCTGTGGTCGTTTCCATGCTTAAAGGATAAAAGAATAGAAGAAAAAAAAATAGTGAGCTTAGTTTTTGTGGATTGAAACAGCGCACCGTTGTCTGTTTTCTTTGTTATTTTTTTTTTTTTCTTTTTCTTTATTCTCTAATGTTGCATAATCTAATGGCAGAGAACAATGCATTGAAACCGAGTGCATGCTTTCAGAAAATGTGTCAAGTGATGGTATACGAAGGATTGAATAAGCAACAAGTAGAAGATTTTCGTCTGATCTTGCATATGCTTGTATTGGAGAGTTCTCGTCATAATATTGAGGTAAATATAAATCACAAAGTTGGTGTTTTTTCTGATGCATTCTATACAAAAAGGCAGGCAAGACATGGATATTAGAAAAATGTACATCTCCAAGTCAAATCTTTGCATTAATGGAATATTTATTATCATTATCAAGATCGACAACAGCAAGAGAAGAACGATTACATCTAATCTATTTATTAAATGATGTCTTGTATCATGCGTAAATACAAAGCAAAAATAGAGATGTTCAAAAAATTTTAAACATATTGATTAGATCTAGAAGGAGACTCTTTTGGATCCGAGACACCGTCTTTCCTTTACTCGTCCCTTTACTCAAACTTGCCTATGAAGCAGCAGAAACAGACGAACATAGGGCCAAGGTTACAAAGGTAAAATGATTTGTCTGCAGCAGATAACCTTCAGCACACAATATGTTCAAAAACGAACCAGTCCTCTTACTTTTTTTAAAAAAGTGTATCACCTTTTGGAGTGACAGAGATATATTTGATGAGGTCTCTATTGCTTATATGCGACAAGCCATCGTTCAACCTGCTCTTATTCCTCCACTGGCTATACCCAATGTTCCCTATGTTTCTCCTTCTTTAGCTCCTAAGGTGCAAATGGTTTCTCCTTCAAAACCTTATTATGAATTGCCTGCTGGATTAATGACACTTATACAAGTAAGAAATAACAAAACAAAAAGGAGCATGATCATTGATCTTTTCTTAGCACCATGTGTATTATAAACCTATCAATCCATCTACTATCAAAGTCCCTTTTCCTACACCAGAACCCACCAAGGAAATTCTGGATGCCATTCAAGAGTTTTACTCTGGACTTGACCTGCTGACAAAAGAGGTCGATCCTATCTTTGACGACAAGGTATCTCAGACAATTGATCCTCAAGGATGGCAAAAAGGCTACTTGAATAATTATTATGAAAAAACAGCTACACAAAGGAAGAAGTGGGAAGAAAAACAGAGACGAGAGGAAGAAGAAGCAGAAAGAGATCGCCGTTACCATAGTGATCATAGAACAAGAAGGAGCCGCAGCAGAGGGCGATCACCGACCTATCGCAATCGCAGCAGAGACTACCACCGTAGTCGGAGTCGAAGTTATAGTAGCTATGATAGCCGAGGCAGAAGTCGAAGCTACACTAGGCGCAAAAGAAGTCGATCAAGAACACGTTACAGAAGCAGGAGTCCTTATCGAAGCCCACCGAGAAGACATAGACACTATAGTCGATCACCGCCTCCTTCATACCATCACCGCTCACCACAGCAGCATCATCACAAACTTGTTCCTCCTCCTGTCGCGCCGGTAGTGCCAGCCTCTTCTTTCAATGCTCCTCCTCCTCCAAAGCATTTAGGATTAGGAAACCAAACGGTGGATGAATTCGCTGCCTTCAGAAGAAACAAGAGTGAATCGTACAGTCGAAGAGAACCACCACCACCACTTATATGCTATAAATGCGGCAAGGTAAATCATTGAGATTCCAAAAAAAAAAAAAAAGAAGCCAACTCATTTCGATTATTTAGCCTGGCCATTTAGCAAGAGAATGCGATAGTCTCTAATCTATTTTTATTTCAAACGACCATAAATCCCTTGCACAATAAACATCATCCATTCTCTGATCAAATTCCTTCAAAGCCAACTGCCGAATTTGCTCCATGACTTCTAATGACGCCGGACTCTCATCGCCCGCATATCGTGCACTAAAATGAGTCAAGATAAGTTTCTTGCAACGCATACGTTTAGCAAATGCGCCTGCCATCTGAGGAGTTGAGTGACCATAACCCAGTGCCCTCGTCTCGACTTGTTCAAACGTCGTCCCCGGCTCATCCAGCGTCGTCAGCGCGTTTGTTGCCTCATGGACCAGTAGACTGGGTGAATCGATGAGAGAGGCAATACGTGACGGATCACGCGTGTCGCCCAAAATGACGACCGATCTACCCGGTCGCATGGGTGGCGGATGAAGAACATGGCCATTCGGCAGAACGTACGGCTCGTTTGTACGTTGAATGATGCCCAAGATGCCCATGGGGTTCTTGATGCCCTTGTCTCGTAATGCGTCCGACTGTGCCTTGATCATGGGCACCAGGCCGTCCAGTTTTCCCGGCTGGTCTGGTTCGCGCACAACGTACCCCAGTGACGGGATCGAGTGTTCAATTGCAGCTGCTTGAACCTTGTAGTTACTTATGTACGGTAGATCTTCAAATACGCCTTCCACGCTGCGAATATTGCGTCCAGGTAGCTCATTCATGTGCAGATCTTGATTTGAATCCTCAGGATCATCTTTATGCAAGAGCTCATGGACTCGGTAAGATCGGCCCAGATTGGAGTAGGTCGACTTGAGCGTGGTACGAAGCCAGGATCGTAGTGGTGAAGGACCGTAGATCTCGATCGGTGTTTTCGACTCGGCTGACTCAGCAGCGTTTGGGTTCATATTGTCAGAGAGACTGCATAAAAGAGGACCCAGACCAAAGCAATGGTCTCCATGCATGTGTGTGATGAAGATGCGTGAAATTTTGCCCATCTTGAGTTTGCTTTTCTGAAACTGATGCTGTGTTGCTTCTCCGCAATCAAATAACCAGATTTCACCGCCTAGTCTTAATGCTATCGCTTGGTGATTACGGGTTGCACTTGGCTGAGCACTGCCAGTTCCCAAAAACGTGATGTCTATAGTTGCTACCATTTTTTTTTTTCGTAAAGGAAAAGGAGGAAAAAAATAATGAGGCTTTCTACACTTATCATTTGTCACTATTTACTAAAGTCACTTCATGCTCATACAATTACAGTCTATTCTTTTGATATGTTCTTTCGACAAAAGATGGTCTGTAAGGTTCTTTTTTAATACAGTCTTATATTGACTTCATCTGGATGAACTATTTCGCAATTGAAAGGCTAAAAAAAAAATGCGTTTCCCCCTTTTTTTTATGTTGTTTAATAAAGAGACTCGAATTGAGTCAAGTAAGAGCTAAGTAAGGTCTCATTAAAACTTCTTGCTAAATGCTTTTATTCAAGCCAATCCATAAAACTAGACACATATACACTAAAAATAGCTTCATATATTGTTTTTGCGTTTACAAAAGTCAATAATAAAGATAAAATACCCATTCTCTTTCGTTAGGTCTGATCATAACAAGTGTAGTGCCATCTTTCCTGAAGTAGCATCACCTCAAACTTGCTTCTTATAAAGCTGTCACTAGTGTTGATGGTAATCTTACCACACTATAATATAATCCTCTGCCTTCCGTAAAAGTTATTTAGAAACGACGAGAAAAGAATGGCGCTTAATTCTGCATCATGCATATGAACACCGACATCGGTGTCATAGAATGGATTCTTGGGATTATCCTCCCTTCTCAATGAAGACCATGGATGCTATCATTGCTCTACCACGAATTGTCTCTTTCTCTTCTTCTATTAGCTCTACAATGCATTTCTCAACAGTCTCTTCTGGTGTTTGACGATGCCTGTTGATAAAACCCATTTATCTTCATCTTTTAGGTCTCTGTAGCATTTTTCGACATGCTGATGCTTTCGTGGTACTAAAAACACTTGATTTATATACAGTTTGATGATAAAATAATAGAGTCTGGGTTTATACCATGTTGATCAATTATGCAATCAGAAAGACTGTCCAAATGTTCGAAGTAATTGTACAACAAGTACATGCATGTGCTTTCATAGCACCAGCCTACAAACAATTCGGTTTATTATGGAGTTGCATAAAAAACGTTATATTCACTTACAAATTATCTAAGCTGTGATTTTGAAACAAACTTTACACTATTAAAGAGATAAATACCAAGCCTAAGTTACGACTACGTGCAACTTTAAATACTTATGTAGTTTTATTATAAAGGTGTACACTACACGCATGAAGAAATCCACGAGAGGGTTAATGCTACAGGTACTATCTGTAATATCGTCAACAAACATTTTCAATATGCAGCGTCACGTTAAGCTTATTCAGGAACCGATGTCTTTCCATGCTTCTTGATGTAGAATATGGATTTGTTTTTTAAAGAAGAAAGAGATAAAACGAAATGTGGTTATTGCTGTATTTTAATTTTTTTATGTTGTCAGTTTGATCTACAAAGGACAAAAATCATTCACGTATAATTATGATGAGACTTCATAAAGATTATTTCACTGGACAGCGTTAGGTTAGATAGTCACTTTGACTGTGTGAAGTTGTATAGTGACAATATAGGTAGCGCCTAGAAGAAGTGTCCGTAGCATTAGTCTTCTCGTGGATTTCCTCGTGCGCGTAGTGTACACTATTATAAAACCATGTCTCAGCTACAGGAAGATTCAAGCTTAAATTTAAACAGAACTTTAATACATTTATTCCCTTTGGCTGCCTTAAGGAATTACCTTCGACATTGGCGTAATGGTGATGTAGATTTGCTGCATCAATCTATACTGTGTTTTTTGATTGTATTTTATTAGGCTAAAGGTTAATATCACTATCATGCATGGCTGTATCTATTAAAATGGTATACGGCCGTATCCAAAATTAGTTCAGGTTATTTAGCTAAAGACTTGGTAACGTCCAGGGTAATTCTACATCCTTTATTATTATTATTATTATTACTATTTGTGATGATTTATAGGTATGATGCCGCCAAGATATGCCCTTTGTGAAGTGTATAGAAGAGAAGTAGGTACTATTAGATATAATGATATACAAAGTAATTGGGTAATCCCCAAATCGAGTAACCTAGAGACTTTGCTATCTTTGCAAAACCTTCTGTCTCTACTTGATGCTGATAGGCAAAGGGAGGAAAGATGGCACCATCACGATGCACCTGAGCTCTTACAAAGGTACAGGTGCCTCCTACAGCATCCAAGGGAATGGTATGATACAAATCTGTATTGCCTCCTTCATTGACCATATCAATCATCAGCTTTCTATGTGTATTCAAGACTCCTTCGTACCCTAATATACACACATCATGAGTATATATTCATTTTCCCATTGCTAAAATATAATACCTTCAACCAGTACTTGATCATGAGGAATTGTCTTTTGAAACTCTATACTTTCATTCGTCTCTTGCCAATTATTCTTATCATATCCTCCCTTTTCATTATACGAGTGCCACCAACAGTTGGGCGCTATCACATCCTTATCCAACGAAATCAGCTCGTCCAGCAAGGTTGCAGGATACTCTACTACATCTCCGTCCAACCAAAGGACCCAATCCTGCTCCTCGCTCAATGTAGTTGACAGCAAGGTGTTTCGACTCTTGGCCATGATGGCTCGTCGTTGAATTTGAACTTCAAACTTGTGACGATCTTCATTCGTAGGCAGATCGTATTTATAGTCCTTTTGAAGTACAGTGATCTTATTGAACCGCTGCCACTCAGGTAGTGTCTGTTGTGCCCTAGATTGAAGCTTTTCAAAAGTACCATCCGTTGAATCAGAAACAAGAAATCCCAGCGAGATTAGGTGATGAGGATAAGTAAGTTTTAAGAGGTTGTCAAAGTAAGTATCTATAAGATGAGCTGATTGTTTAAATGGGGTCAATATCAGTACATGTGCATCCTCTTTTTTTGTTGGTCTATTGAGATTGGTAAATGAGTATCGATATTTGTTACATTGGTCTGTAATGTGCGATTGACTTGTGCTAAATAAGAACCAATAGAACAAGATACAGCTTGTGATGAGTAGAGTGATGAGTTGTATCTTGGTCGTTAATGGCATTAAGGAAAAAAGAATGAGAAAATAAAAATAAAAAATTTATTACATGTGTGCAACGAGAGTTTAAGAGGCAGAAGTATAAAAGTAAATGTCTTGCCACAATGGTAAATACTCACGAATAATATCTAATCGGAACATGAATGACAAGTTGATACACATTTTATATATAACTTACTTGAAGCCAAGGACAAGATAGGCTTGTCTTCTGTTCGATTACAGAAGCTCTCCAGACGAGGTCGAGTAATCTTTAAGTAAAAGATACCTCGCATGACATTGAGCAACAACAATCTTCGACGTCGATGAAACTCATCCTTCTCTAGTGGCATCATCCTTGTGCGGCCACTTGTCGCTCTATATCCTGCCTTTAATGTTGCCTGTGATAACAGTTCAATCGCTAATGACATGATCCAAGGTCTCCAAGATCTTTTACCCCACTTCAAAATCGCCATCACTTATGGGCAAGTTAATATGTGATTGTTGGTTTGAATATAATTTACCATAAATAAGGGGTCGAAGGATATACATCAGTTCTCCTAGTTTAGATATATTCTTTTGAACAGTCACCATCTGATCGGGTTTTCGTACCATATCTGCTGTCAACTTTCTGGACAATAAAAAGTCAGTGACATCCGTATTCTTTGAGTTTGTTTGAAAGCAGTCTTTCATTCGTTTCACACGGATGCCTGTTCGTTTTCCAACCCAAGTTTCATTATCCTCTTGTGGTTGAATTGCCAGCGCCTGAGGGTCAATATCGCGTTGTAAGTGAGGTGGAGAAAGGGTCATGCGTTGACCTGTTGTTTGAAAGATAAAGAGTCTCAACATTACCCTAAAGTAGTTAGCCTTAACCATATGTTGTCGTTATTTTTTCTCCTTTTTTACTTGAGGCCTTCTAGATATGCAATGCACTCCCACTGCCTCTTCTTGCCATATTTCTTTAATACGGCCATTTCTATCAAAACTTGGGTATAAAGGATGACAGAAAGTAAACTAGACGCTGTTGCATTCAAGTTGGAGCGAGAAGACCAAAAGTGAATGTACTTGTTGAATGCTGATTCTTCCACTTGGTCACGTCTAGCAAGTATGGCCTTTCGTATGATCGAATTGTGATATAGATCGACCAAGTTAAGCGCGGCGTATACTATTAAATGAAATGGTTAGATATATATCAGCTATATCTAAAGCATATATATTTACGTGCTTGTGAGGCAAGCTCAGCGTCTTGGAAGCGACCTGCAGTTTGGATTAATACAAATAAAAGGACGCATTAAATTCATATACCAGGCAAGATAAAAGTTAAGGATCGTAAGGAGGACTCAATGCTTGTTATTTGGGAGGCATTTTTGATCAAGAACTCTTCATACAACTGGAAATACTTCATGTTTTTAAATAAAAGAGAGAGAAAAAAAATTGATTTTATTTATGTGAACGAAAAATTATACAGATGTGTCAGCTTTTTTTACCCAATTACTGTTGCTGCTGTTGTTGCTGTTGTTGTTGCATCCCCACAAATCGTTCGAGGACCTTGTTAAACCCTGCACGTCCAATATCTGCATTCTGTTTAAATCTTCGAAGAGAGAACTCTTCTAGTACATGTGACCATCCAGAGACTAAACTTCCTGCTGATATGGCTGCTTGCTGAGTAAATAATGTTCTATTGAAGGATATAAATAAAGGTGTTGATGATATTTCTCCCCGCTTACTTTTTTCTATCCTCGGGATGTTCTTGATATACAATTGTTTCTTCTACTTTTAATAGATGCGATAATGTCAAATTAACCGAACGCATAGTCAACGTTTTACTTTTTGGGTCAATGATTGATATTTCATGTACGTATTGGGTTGTGCCTGGACCAAGAATCTATAATGAATGAATAACCAAAGAAAGCACGATATATAATCTTACCTTTCTAATCAAGGTGGGTATATTTTGGTTTACTGTAATCAGTCTTTCAGTCGTCAGTAAGCCTGTGTCTGGATCAATGGTTCGGCAAAGTACATCGACATGAGCAACATGAGTGCAGCTTTCATTTGGGTATTTTTGCCAATTGGCAGCGGAGACAAGACTCCATTCATAGTTGAAGTCATGCCTCGACTGGAACCATTTCATGTTTTGTATAAAAAAAAAGGTAGAAAGGAGAAAAAGGGGAAGAAAAAAATTTTTTTTACAAGTAACCATGACAACAATAACAATAAAAGTTTTTAATTGTTATGGTGACTATGATGATACGTACAAATACATACACTCTCAATCAATATCAATTTGACTGTATCATCTTTTTTCCCTTTTTATTTCTCTAGAGTTTACATCTTTTTGGTCTAAACACTGATATTATTTTTTTTATTGTATGACAAAAATCACATGCTAATGCTTTATCTTTTTCTTAACAGGCTCTTCATCTTCTTCTTGAATAGTAATGATTTCATGAGGCTCCCTCTTGAGCGACGCTTTCTCTGGTATGCTATCCTGGATAGGAGCATAGGTATCATCGTTACGTCTTATGAGTTTTTCTTGATTTGGATATTGAGTCAAAGCTAGTTTTGTATGGTAATCAATATAAAGGTCTTGGATGCCGCGAATCTTGACACAACAAATAGGACATTGCCAATTCATTGAATTGATTTGAAATCTGAAAAAGACTTGTGCGTCAAAACAAGTACGATGAGTACAAAAGATACATCGAGCAGGATGCTGAATGATTGAAAGAAGAATAGGATCCATCATGGATACGACTTCATCACCAGCCACAATATCATCATCTTCTTCTTGGTCTTCACCATCACAATCTATAATAGGAAGAGATCAGTCATCACAGAGTTAAAAAACGAGATAAAAAACACGTACTGTTCCAAGCTTCGGCAAACATCTCACCACAGGTCATTAACAGTTTTTCTGTTTTAGCAAGAATAAGCTTATCATTCGGACTGCCGCACGGCCGTAGCGCCTGTACCGTCTTCTTTTGTACTTGATCTGCCCTTTCTGGATACCTTGAAGCCTTTTCTGTAGCCTGACCGATATAGAGTGAGGCAGTCTGAGCATACAACTGACTCGTTAGTTCCTCTGGCGTCTTTTCCCAGACTGCGCACACGGACACGTGTCTGACGTTTGATGGTTGAGTGAACTTGAACGATAATTTGACGTTGCCTGTCGCGCGTCGATTGGCCTTAGTGATCACGCTGGACTTGTCTGTGATATCAATATGCAAAAACCCAAAACGCAGCAAATCTTTCTCGTGCTCAGTCAAGGGCTGCATCTCGTCATCAACGCCGATGTGTGTCAATGTGTCGCCTGGGTGCCATGGTATACGCTCGGTCGACCACATGTAAAAGAAGAGGCGGACATTGAAGTTGGACTCGGCATGGCCTTCGACAACAGCCGCGCGGTTCAGTTTCTTAAGCGGGATCTCGACGCTACAGTCAGAGCGCCATGAGACCTGTATCCGGAAGAGCTCGTCTAGTCGTTCGTATTTATCGGTAGTGGGTAGCACGTCATACGCGAGATCAATCGTCTTGGCCTGATAAGTACGGCTAAACCAAACAATGTCAGATACTAAAAGCTCATTGAGAAGCACGCACTTACTTTTCTCGCATATCGCGATAGTGCTGTTCACTGGCCTTGATGATAGGGTAGCCAGGGAACAAGATGGATATGAGCACTCTTGAATGATCGCCTTGTCGAATATGCGAATTGGGGCATCGTTGATCAGTGATGCCCTTGTCTACGAGATATTGATGTATCTCAGCCATTTTGATCTTACTCAACTTAAAATAATTGATGGGATCCTATTACTGTATGTAAATAATACTTTCCCCTTAAGAGTTAGACAAGCGACATACTTGCCATAAAGAACTCAACCGATTGGCGAAACGACGAAAAGCCCATCATTTTACCAAGCTCGCGTATCTGTGTACGTGTCAGTATGGGCTGCGTCGATCTTAGTTTTCGTTGTCGATAGGTGTGGAAGCTCATAGTCAAAAAAGAAAGAGAAAAATAAAAAAACTGACAGCTTTTCCAGATAAAGTAGTTCTTTTTCTGTCAATTAAATCATACAAGCCACACACACAATGAATAATAAATCCAGTTTTGATTAGACAACAAATGCATCATTTTTACTAAAATCTTTTGTTAAATTGAGAAAAAAAAAGATGCAATGGTAGTCCACTTTAAAAGTGAAAAGCCGTGTTGCGGCATAGAATGACCTTTTTTTTAACATCATCAAGTTTACTATGAACAGAAAGAAAACCCTCAAGGCTGTCATGCCTTTTGTCAGACATGGCTTTTGGTCAGATGTGGGTGCTCTTAGCAATCATTCATCGTCACCATGACTTTTTCAATTGAGGCTCCGATCGCTATGGTTATTTTTGGGGTGCAACCATTTTTATTAAGTGCATAATTTAATGAGTTATTCAACTATATGCTCAATGTGTGAGTTAAACATATGGGGCATTAAAAAAAGTCTTCTATACCTTCTAATAATGACTTATCCATATGCAAATGTGAGCCAAATGGCAAGTACCCTTCCAACATGGCTTCTGACATGAGTGAACTAAGTGTGTCCATCGTATTTGTCTCATTTTCAATGATATGATTTGTTATTCTTCGAAGGCTGTTCCAAACGATAGATAGAATAGCTGCTGTTCCAGCTGGATGATGAATGGGAATACTACATAATGTAAATAAATGATAACATCTTGTATGCTTAGTTACCTATCGAGGTTTTTGCTCATATATAACGGTGATGACGACTTTTTTTCGTGATATGTTCCTTTTTCAATTAATTCCTGTGATCGAATACCAGATGTTGTTGGTAGAAAGGGAGGCATGACCGCACTGTCTTCATCTTCACTCGTACTGCTATTACTTGTAGTGCTTGCAGTACGTCCAAAGGTACCTGTGCCATCATGAGAAGGTATATTGAGTGTAGCCTCTAGGATATGATCTATGTCGTCTGAATCTGTATCAGAAAAGGTGGGTTTAAAGGAAGATGAACAGCAAGACTCAGTTTCTGATAGAATCCCAATGGACGAAGTAGTGGAAGGTGAAAGGGTCGAACTGATTACATGCCAATCATTATCAGAATCTGATATCGCAGAGGATTGTTGTTGTAGTACAGAATCATCAGAGTATGGCTGATGTCGCTGAACAGGCCGTCGTTGTTGCTGTACAAATGCCATCGTGGAAAAGAAAGAAATGAAAAATAAAAAAAAAACTGGTGTGAGAAGCCTTATCAATTGCGATAACGTGACATCGCCCGACCTAAGGCGTTATCCAATAATGATGCCCGAGAGCTTGTTTATTTATCTTGCTCTTGCCTCCTTGACAATATCGACTTGTATACCCCCTAAATCAACAACTTCATTATTCTTTTTGACTCATGCTTCACACGCTGCAGACTTGCAGGATAGTGATACTATGTCACGTTTCAAACAACACTAATGCATTTTCATATATTAATGGTAAAGTATAATTCAAAGCTACATTAAATCTGCATATGCTCAAATTGTTTGCATTATATCCTTTAGAACATATTGGAATGGAGGGATTTTGTGCTTCATTGAAGCTATTTGTTACTATGAATATCTGCAATAACAACTTAATTTTTTTTCTTGGGGCAAAATCGCCAAAGCAGCTGATTTGACTGTTGAAAGGCATTCTCTCTCAAGATAGGACATGTTCATCCTAAAGTCTATCTTGTCAAACTCTGTTATCAACTCTTTAAATATACAGCTTTTGCTACTTTATTTGGATTAAATGAAGATTTCATTTGACCAAATGCTTGTATATTTTGTATTGTAAAATTCATCGAATTAAATTTGTATTGGCTCCAGTGTTGCCCTTACGAAAAAAAAAAAACCTTAAAAAGAAAAAAGAATGCTATTGAATATTATTCGTTCAGGGTCAAAGTGACTTTTGATTCAAGTGTACAAAAAAGGTTCATCAGCTGTCATCGTTAGTTACCAGCTTTTTTTTTTTCTATTATTTTCTATGGCTTACTCTCCTCCCAGGCCAGGTTCAAAAATCATCATTGTAGGCGGTGGATGCTTTGGATTATCTACTGCCTATGCATTATCATTAAAGCAGCAGTATGACATTTATGTATTTGATAGACAACCTATTCCATGTCCAGATGCGGCATCCACAGGTAAGCATATTCTTTTATAAGGGATAAAGATTTACTTTGTCAAACTAGATATCAACAAGATTGTCCGTCTGGACTATGCCGATAACACACTCTATATGCATCTAGCTATTGAATCCCTTTCACTTTGGCATCAGTGGAATAAAGAAAGGGCAGAGAAGAATCAATGCCCTGTATTTCACCAATCGGGTGTACTTCTCTTTGGTCAAGAAGACTTCTCCGACTTTGAAAAGAAGAGCATCAAGGCGATTCAAGAGGCAGGCTATGGTCACTTTATTGATGTCTATTCTTCCCCAGAGGAAATCGTTCGTGCATTCCCACAATTCCAGCAAGCGGTTGATAACGGCTTCAAGAAAGCCTATCTCAATAAACAAGGAGGTACGTATCTTACAGCACATTTCCGATACTGGTGTGACTTATTTGTTAGGTTGGTGTAACTCTGCGGAGGCTGTGAAACATGTCTATCAAAAATGTCTGGACAATGGCGTTCACTTTGTTGTAGGTGAGAAGAGAGGTCACTTTGCTAAACTCTATTGCGATCCCAAAAATCCAGCAACGGTTTTGGGAATTCAGACGGCTGATGACAAGATTCATCATGGAGATCTCGTCTTACTCACCACAGGTTCTTGGACAGCAGGCTTGATTGATATGCACCATCAGGTTATTGCCAGTGGACAACAGGTTGTTCATTTCACACCACCTCCCCAACTAAAAGAGACCTGGGAAAAAATGCCAGTCTGGTGTGGGGATCTGTCAAATACGGGTTACTATGGCTTCCCAGTTAATGCGGATGGTAAAATGAAGATTGGCAAACATCATTCAGGGTAAGTCCTATGCCTTTTTGCAAAGAATTATATCAACACTCCTTTCTTTGTTCAGCTATCTGAACCCTAGAGAAACGGACCAGATATCAGTTCCTCGTACCCAGGTGACACATGCATGCGACACTATTCCTATTGGTGCACTGCGTGAGTTCAGGCAGTTCTTGGGTAAATTCCTGCCAGAGACCTCGGCATTAGACATTACTTATGCCAGAATGTGCTGGTATTCAGACTCTATCGATGGTCATTTTGTAGTCTGCCCTCATCCTGACTACCATAACCTAGTCGTTGCCACGGGCGATTCGGGACACGCCATGAAGTAAAAAAAGAAAAAAGAAAAGCTACCAAAAGGGGTTATAAACAAATAGGGACTGATGCATGAAATTTTTATTGTAGGTTTATGCCTGTCGTGGGATTCAAGATCAGGGATGTTATTGAAGGTATCGATTCAGACTATACCCGTGCTTGGAAATGGAGACAGTTAGAAGCACAAGATACACAACTTGATAACTTGAGAGCAGCTACGCTCATACAAAGAGTTATTTTGGAAGAAAAGGGAAATGAAGAGGCAAGAATGGCTACCCTTGAAGAATTTAAAGTGGCAAGACCACATCTTTAGTCATTAATAAACATCACTTTTAGACATTTTTTTCTTTGTTTCTCTTGATAATTGCTTCTTTGACGAGAAGCAAGTATTGAAATTGATTGTTACCAAAACAACCTGAACCATTCATGAGTACACGTGAAATGCCATTGTTTTCTTTATCGTGTTGCCTTGTGTTTCGTTTTCTGGGCCTTCAAGATTGTGGTGTTTGTATTATTGCTGCAGTAGTAAGAATGGACAGAAAGTACAATGGGGTCTCTTAATATTTCTTTTATTTTGGAAGAACAAAGGTAAAGATATTAAAAAATGATTATATGTATTTGTAACTATTATTGTGATTGGTCAGTTCGTGTTACTGAGCTTTTGTGTAGACACTGCTTATTGACCCTTATTCACGTAGAATAAGTCAAAGACCACCTGGGTCTCTTGTTGGAATGATATCATCAAGTTCTACCATGAGATTTTGTCTTGCGCTATTTTGTAATTTCCAGCTTGCTTCAGGTACTTACCTAACCAGGCACGTCTTCTTTCGCAATACGCCTTCTTTATCCTTGCACCATACATCGACATCACGCCGCAGTTGATCGATCAGGTTGCCAAGGCCAAGGGAGTCGTAAGGCGCAGCATATTCTTTAGGGAGCACATTGCCAGCTTGTAAGCCTGTCAAGAGTGTACTGTTTTATTAAAAATAATTGGCGCATATTAAAAAAAGTATTTACGCAAAGGTTAAAAATAAAATGCGTGCAAAAGGAGACGACATACAAATGAGAGTAAGAAGTACCAAGGAAAGAATATAAAGAATTATACAGCTAGTTATGTAAAAAAATTATTACATGTATACAACTTATCCGAAGGCATCTAGATGTGTCCTAGTGATAACTAGCATGAAGAATCATCGTCTAAGCGTATTCTAGTTCTTGATTGCTCCTGATCGTCCACTCTTCTTCGACACCTTGTAGGAGCAACAGAAACCCGGCAAAACTTATGAGGAATCATGCCATTAAGTCGAAGCTCACGAAGGATGTGCACGTAGTTGAGACAAGCAGCAACATCCCTGTTCCATAAACGATATCTATCTGGAGCTGCTATGGCGGGTCTACAATATAAATTGGCGCATCTACAGGCAATATTCAATCAGTATAAAGTCATCCAAGTGGTTAATGTATTATTACCTTAAAAGGCCATGGCAGGCAACAGCAGGATATCGCTCACATTGATACGGTTGTGGGTTTGGAACACAACGGAACGTGTGAAGGCTTTCGTTGTGGCATGTTGGACAGCACCTACTGGCCTTGTACTCGTCTATAAGATAGACTTGGAACATATGCTTCTTGAGGAGCCTTCGGAAACCAAGGCCACGGATGAGCTCATGATACCTAGCATGGGGAGCGGACCAGTTTCCCATTACAAACACGGCGTCTTCTTCAAACTTGACGCGTAAGCCTTGAATAAGCTTTTGATCGGCACGTTGTTTGTTGAAGTACGCTGAAAGACGGATCTTGTGAAAGAGGGGTATCCATTATCGTGGTTTGTGATGGTATGTCCATAGAATCGACTGAGAACGGCAGACTGTTCAGATCTGGCTTGAAGGAAGCGGCCAAAGTCTTCTACGGATACGGTGCTGCTTGGCTGTTGAGAAAGGGCTTACTCAGCTTGAACGACATCAGGATTCTGGGCTTTGAGACCTTACAAGAGTCGACTGTACTTTTTAGTTTTCCACGTCTTGTCTTGCTGCTGTTTAGTATACCGAAATTTCACTGGTTGCTCTGGTGTAGAGAGTTTTCGTGTACACAATACAGCATATCTCTTCTTCCTGGGTCCACAGCAACGCATCGACCAGAAATCTCTTGATGATATCGTATTTGAAGAGACATACTATACAGTACAGTTACACTGAAGTGTATATTTAACATTTTGAGTAACTTGATAAATATTAAAATACAAACAATAAGGGTTTATGCTTGAAGTGTCATACAATCTAGTGAAGATACACCGTTTACAGGTTATTTTCTATAATCGTGTTGTGATAAGTTAACTGATGATAACCTTTATTGAACAAATATGTTGTCACATATTTGATAAACATCAATAAAGAAACTTATCCAATATAACACTTAATGATATCAAGTCTTGTGAGAGTAGCTAACTCAGATAAGATCTAGAACAGTTGATATCATATAAAGTGTTGTTACGTGTTATCGCCTAGCTAAATGCTCTATATGGAGTAATGGATATATAGTGGGTTCAGTACACATATATGTATGGTGTAAGGTTCCACAAACAAGTAATAATAGGTGCTTTGGTCACGATTCCCTTACTTGAGATAAATGTAGGTTCAGGGATTTTATAAGTAAAAGGCTGGATCTATACGTTATCGAAGATCAGCTGTTCTTTTCATTAACTTCAAGCACAGCACACGAATAGTTTCCTTGTCAGCTTATTAGTTCTCACTTAAACTGTGCTTTGGTACAACTGGAGAAATACTCATGTACAGAAAGGTGCAGTAGGAGTAATAACTTTCGCACAATCAATTGGATTGAGTCAATGGGTCCTTGAATCAGTTCTAACAAGCAGACAAAAGAACCCATAAAGGGGAAACGTTCAATTATGGAAATATCTGTCAGGATAGTTTAATAAGCATTAACATCTCACGTCGTACTCACCCTAGGTTGTCATTTGGTATAAATACAGTAGATCTTTTAGCAGTAGTAAAATCTTGGTCTAATTTTATTAGAAATAAAACTTTTCTCATATTCTTTCCCATTGAATATTTCGTCTTATACTTATTTATCAAGAATACCACACAATCTCACTTGAAGCATCCGCCCTTTACTAAACATTTAAATCGTGGATATCAATAAATAATTCGCTCTATAAAAAAAAAGTTAGTACACGTGAACAGGCTGCTTGTTGTTTAATTCACTTACGGTTACAAAGCCTTTGTAAGATATAGCGACTAGGATATACCCGCACGCGTAGAAACAATTGAATATTATCAAAGCATTTACATAGCATACAAGCATCAAATAAACATATTCATGTGTGTAAATTAGTAAGTCGATTAATGAAACAATGTGTGCTTATTGTAATTTACCTCTATTAAAAAGATAGACTACAGAAGACTCCCTTCATTCGTATAATGAAGTTGCGTTCCCTATACGTAACGTTCGCATCCGGATGCCTTTTACAAAAAGCAAAAGGCCAACGTCCAGCGCGTTAGAAGGGGGGACAATGCACCTTTTTGTTACTGTCTGTTGAATTAGCAACTAAGTGTACACCGTTGTCTTTCGTATCTAACTCCCTTCATTCGTATAATGAAGTTGCGTTCCCTATACGTAACGTTCGCATCCGGATGCCTTTTACAAAAAGCAAAAGGCCAGCGTCCAGCGCGTTAGAAGGGGGGACAATGCACCTTTTTGTTACTGTCTGTTGAATTAGCAACTAAGTGCACATCGTTGTTTGATAGTGTAGTCTAAGATGGAGAATAATAATAATTGTAGGTATTTATCTTCATCATGGCCGTTACGTCATCAAAAAAAGTTCGGACCTTGTTTGCTACCATATGCAGAATGTCTAAATTAGTTTTGATTCATTCGATATAATATTACACATGTTTGAAAAAAAGATTGGTTTTTTTTTTTTTTTTTTTTTTTTTTTTTTTTTCTTACTACTAGGGGGGTTGGGTAATTTAAAAAATGCATTTTGAAGAGTTAGTACAATTTTTAAAAGGCAAAGCACACGAAGATTTTGGCACAGATGCTGTCATGTGTATCAAACTTGAAGGTATTAATAAAGGTTATTCGCTGATAGACGAAATAGGGATTCCCTGGTCATGCTTCTATATATAATTTTAAAGTATAAAAGACAAAAAGAAGACTTCAACTGCATATTTGGGATAAAGAATAAGAAAATCTTTGTGTTTGCATTTACAGAAAAATACATAAATGATTTTTCACATTTTGAAGATAATGAAAGTGAAAAATTAGCACTTGGCCTATGATTTACAAGAAACACTAAAACTGTGACACTATTTTTTTAAAAAAAAAAAGAATTGGGCATTGTTATAATCAGTGTTATTCTTAAAACGAGAAGACTGGATGGCGTTTTAAACTTTTCCTTACAATAAACCCTCCCCTTCCTCACTCACTCACATTTATATTATCATCAGAATAAAGAACAGTAGTAAGAATAATGTAGTGAACAAATGAATTTTTTTATTCGGATCAAACTAGGTTGTGTAGTATCCACGCTACTATTCAGTGTTTAAATACAATATCAAGAGTTGAACCTAATGTTGCTATAAGATCATTTACACCTTAATCAAATATAGTCAACTCAGTTTAAATACCTCAGCTTCTTAATATATAATTATAGATTGTGCTATCCTCTCTTTTCTCTTTACTTTATTCTGAATAAAGATACAACACAGTATCATCGTATTTTCTACTTTGTTTAAATCTATCCAAACCCAAATACAACACGTATATTGTTGTAGTGTACAATTCTCCATGTCTTATTTTACACAAAAGTAAAAAGATATCATTGGAAGTTATCGTTTATATCCAATACATTCCTAAGCTAAATTATCAACTAACTCTTCAGATATGCGTAATACTATTGAACCCAGGGGCGTTTATATACACAGCATGTATTATGCTAAATGACTAAATACTATTGTATAAAAGAAATATAAATGCATTGAAAATACGGTAAACGGGTTCTATGAATAAGACTAAGATGAGCCACGTAACTAAGATATAAATGCGTATGCTTTAAGACAGATTTAAAGATGTTCTCTGTTGCGGCATTTGGCCAAACATTTATATGAATGTCGAACAAAGCCTTTGAAGTCATTTACTTTTAAGCTATTGGACGCTTCACTGATTCTCGTCATTAGCATCTCTTTTTCCAATAACCCATTGTGCTTTACTTTGCTCTTAGCAACTGACCAGAATTGCTCAATTGTATTAAGTTCAAGGGAGTATGACGGTAAATAAGCATAACAGTAGCCGCGTGATATAATATATTTAGCAATATCTTCAGATTTATGGATAGGAGCATTATCCATAATAAGGTAGCGCCCTTTCATATGTGGGTACTGATCCACTCATCCTTCGTGGCCTTCAGAAAACTAAAATAACGACCAGTTACTGTCCCTGTACTCGTTAGCTCAACATAACCTTCTCTCTTTCTTTTCTTGGCTGGTGACTGTGGTAATTTCAGGCTACACTTTATTAATCCTGAAGGAGAGATCGTGCCTAAAATCGTTGTTGTTTGTGCTCGGGTTTTGGGCACTGTGACCACAGCAAGCAATCCTTTTTTTTGACCAGGCCATACTACGTTTCAAATTAATATGAAATGCAGATTCATCGAGAAAGATGCAATTAGTTCTAAAGTTTATGTCCGTACACTCCCATTTATGAACCCATTCGAAATGCTCCTGAATTTTTTCCTTACTGTTCCTATCTATAGGCTGAAATTAGGCTTTTTTGAATGACAAGTTACATTCAGTTTTTACAAAATTGTAGACAGTGCTTTAAGAGACCTTAAGATCCTGAAACTTTTGAGGTAGTCACCCCATTACTTGCTTTAAGACGGCTGAAGGATTTTCATATATGTACTCCAAGGTCTCTTACTTGTGTTCTTCATGAAGTATACGCGAGCGACTGTCTTTCTTATGCTTTATAAAAATACTATCAGGATCCGTCTTGCACATTTGGGCCCTAAATCGTTCGTACCCAATTAGAATACGGGCTAGCCATTACCAAGGCTACCTCCTTCCTTAGCAAACAATTGGACGACGCTCAGAACGCTTGTATACGTCGAATCTTCGGTGGTTCGTGCAATTCCTCCACAACAGTGATGTTACATCTGGCAAACCTACCAACCATGCAGGAATGCGCTTACTCCCTTTAGTCCTAATTCCTTCTACGCACCTATACCCTTCCAGATGATGCACTACTTTCCCATCTACTCCCATTGATCCGCCAACCTACAGTAACGCTTAAGACGATGAACTTCCCCTTTTATTATGTAACTTAATTCTATTTCATGCGAATATTCATTTTATCCCGATAAACGATTCAATCAATGATTAATGAATGTGTTGTGATATGTCAACTAATATAAAAAGGCATTAATCTTGATAGAGGGTATCATAATGTCCTATTAAAGAGATGAATATAACAAGATGAGTTTCGCTTTATTGTTATTAACTAGGTCTATAAAGTAACTGTATTGAAGCATTCAACGCTTTACGAACAGCAATAATCTTCAAATGATCAGATTCTCTTTTAAATGCTTCTACATCTCTTGAACACAATTTGTCAATAGAGACTATTTAATCAGCAATGAATGGTTCATATTCAGTTGAACAATAGAAATCAGCCATTCAAAGTAAATGCAAAAGAAGTAAAGCAAATGTAAAAGGTATCATAACGAACTTTATTGTCAGTCATCTAAGAATACGAATAATGGAAGTCAAGTGAAACATAGAGAACATGAATTTTGCACGTGTGATCCATAATGAGTTTATCAAATATCTTACATTTCCAAATTGGAAAAGAACTTTGGATATGAGATAATATGAAGTAGAGACAGAGTATTGAACACATAACGATAAGAGCGCAGAGATGTAGAATTTTGAATATATATATATTTATATGTGGAGCAAGCTATAGACGAAGAGCGATATCTATGAATATTTATTGACAATGTTGTAATGGCACAACATTGTCTTCCCTTAACATGATGTTGTCTGTTTTGCCAAGCACGTAGGTAAGAGACAACAAGTCAGTGAGACTGAAATATATGATAACCTTTATTTACTATGAATAAGCAATGATGTTTATACTTTTTAACATCTACGAGCAATTACTATGATTGGCTTGATTGCACATCTATTTATAATCATCCAAGGAATATGGAAAGAACATCTAGACTAAGATGAGCCTGACAGTGATTGTCGAATGCAGAAGCATCGATCTGTACTACAGGAGCAATGATATTTATGTTGTCAGTTTGATTAACAAAGAACCAAGGTCAATTCAAATGTAATTATGATGAATTCATATTTACATAAAGAATATTCCATTGGAAAGACTTAGGTTGGGTAGACACTTTGGGAGTATAAAATTGTAAAGTGACAACGTAGATAGTGCCTGGAGGTAGCGCCCATAGCATTGACCTATGCACAACAAACAACACTAGACGCACCACATTTGCACAATATTATGTATACAAGGCCCTTTCATACAACATATCTGTCGTATTTACTCTAAAAATACTTAAAATTGTCACATGAGGTTACTTTAAATCTGTAGGAATGAACAATCAAAGAGACTGATCACAATACAAGTTATTTATATATAATGCGTCATGCACAATTCTTATTTGATATGATTAATTCACGTAATGATCCTGTTTGTAATAGATGACACTGTTTTCAATAACGATTTCTCTCTCGCCGTGATTTTATGAAAATGGTTATATAGAGCCTTGTCGACTTATACTTCTTTTATAATTTCTATTGTTCTGATCAACACTTCAGCCTTGCACATAATATTGTGTAAATGTGGTATGCCTAGTACATTGAATTGCACTCTCCTAAATCCGATTTACTTATACCCTCGGTTTTTAAGGAGTGTTTAAAACATGTCGCTGCCACGTTTATTAAAAATAGTGCAAAAGGAATTTTTTTAGCGTCTTTCTTATATATCGCTGGGTTGGTGGTATTTGATTGCTATTGCTTCGAGTAATGTCATTTTGAATAACTAAAGCTGCGCTTCTTACATGAGTAAGCTTCTTATCATTTAGCAAGCGTGGATTATCTAAATATGAACGATAGGCAGCCAACATATTTGATAGCTTGTTTGTCAAGTTATTCAAATTTGTAACTATTCTTTTTCTAACTAACACTCGCTATAGCTTCCTCTTTTCTGTCACTTTCGTTTATTTTTGTTCATGTTTGTTCTTTTCTCTTCTTTTTCTGTTCTATTTTAGGCAAATCTCTTTAAGTATCATCGACAGTTGTTATGCACTTGTGGTTGAGCACAGAGTTACACAATTTTCCATGGTTACATTACCCTATTTTGCTTTTTTTTTAGTTTCCTTTCAAACACTACAAACACATAGTAAATAGTTATCATACACACATAGACAAGTTATAAATGAGTAGAAAGTGAAATGATAAAGACTAAAGGAAGCGGGAGTATAAACTGACCTCTTTCTTAACGTCGATCCCTTATTGCATGGTTGACACTCCGAAAAACGGCAATGAAAAAAGGGTCTTGAAAGGTACCACAGGGTCATTCTTAAAACAAAGAAAAGGGCGGCTTTATTTATTAAGCAAAAGAAGGGAAGAGAGTAAAATAATGGTAAGAAGAGCACAAATTTAGTAACTAACCTGTAAACAGCGAGATAATTTTTCATAATATCAACAATGTTCGATATAATAAGAAGAGCAATGTATGATCTCAAAAAGTCTGTAGCAAAGACAAACACAGCAAAAGTAAGCTAGACTGATTACTATAAAGTTTTAACAAGAGTACGCCTGTATTTCAGAGCTACTTTGTAATATACCAGGCAGAGTATTTCAGCTGACAGCACAGTTTTTATTCCATGCTTCAATGTTGCCTGTCTCTTGTCTTTTACTATACCTATTTTATACTGTTTGCTTCTCCACAAGGCTCTTTAATGATATAACTGCTAGATTTTTTATATATATCAAAAGCTTTTATTCCGGAAATACAGTTTCATACAGACGTAATCAAACAGATACATAAAAGATACAAATCTTTACCTTTTAACACTTTTACAAGAGTTTTTGTTATTTCGTAACCACTCTTTTACCCCATTAAGACATTATTACATTACAAGCATCGCATCATGACATATGTTTGCGAATCAGGAGAAATGTGGTGGTTATGTTTATATATTGACTTTCTAGTTACGGCCTTGCCTAGATCTCACAGGACAAGCAAACTTTACGAAATTGATCTGGTGCCTTCCCTTTTTTTTTAACTAAACCGTCCTTTACTGCTACCATTCTTCTTTTAAGTCCATTTTTATTGTAATGATTACAAGACATTGCTATCATTTATTTCTTTTAAAGAAGCACTAAAAGCTACTATAATAATATTGTGCTTTTCACTGTAATTTATTGCTGCGACACGAACAAGCTCTATACTACCAAACTCGGCTCTCTCATAAAACTCGCGATTAAAGTGTTGGATAACAAGTAGCATTCGTTCTTCTTTTTTTTCTTTGCTGTTGAAAGTATCATCAGTTTGGCCTGTTAACGTCATCAACATCGCAGCCAAGATCAACCTCTATTTCATCTTTGCAGTCATTATAAAATGGTCTAATCATTTCAGTAATAAGACCAATATAGTCATCCTATTCATTCATAGTGTAATACCTTGGCTGTAAAATAAAGACAGAGTCCTGAATTTATTGACAACGGCGGCCTGGAACCAGATACTTTATTGCGATATTTACATGTTTTTGCAGCTTGCGGGAGTATTGTCGCTTTCGTAGAGTCTTTTTGCAGTACGCCTAGTGAAAAAGATGAAGTTGCTGTCCCCAGTAAAGAGAAAGAGACAATCCGTGGTATAGCGGTGATAGTGCCCACAATCTTTATTGGAAGAGGAAAATATCCCTGAGGATCCCTTAGACCACGACTATGTCAATGGTTGCTATGGCACCAATATTGGTGTTCATGTGCATGATACATAATTTAATAGCCTGGTACTTATTTTCTCTGGAAATTTCTCTAAAAAGAAAGCAAAGGATCACGTTATAGTGTGGTAAGATTATCTCAACATTAGTAACAATTTTATAAGATGTGCGTCTGAAATGATCTACTTCAAGAAATACGGCATGGAATATTGTATTCATCAAAGTCATTAAGAAGAAGATATTGTATATGTATCATTGATTTTTGTAAACACAAAAGCATTGTATGAAGCTACCTTTAGCATACATATGGCTAGTTCTATTACAAGTCAGAGATTCCTTAGAAATTCTTGTCAATATACAGCCCAAGTATGTTTCTCTATTAAAAATAGGAGTCATATGAACTCGCTTTGTATAAAGTTTAATTAATAGTTCTTCCTGTCTCTCCTTGCTTGGCTGAGATGCATGTTGGATATTAAATGGTTAGTGTGTTTATGGTTACCAATATATCTCAATGTAAGCCCTTTTAAACGCGCCTCTTCAAAATAAAGTTCTACCACTGAAAGGGAAGTTTAATTTCTTTTTTTTTATTGAAGTAATGTTGACATTTCAAAGATTGTACTCAACTACCTTAAATGCTCGCTCTAAATTATCAGCACTTAGAGCTGCAATGAGTCAACTTGATGCAATGTAACTCGAATGAAGCATAAAGCTTTTCTATTGTACATAAAAATAAGAGAGAGCGTGTATGTTAACATAAACTTGTAGTATTGTACCGAGTGAAGACGCACACCAAGTATATAAAAGAACCTATTTCTATTTTTAATGACATACCAACATACTTGCAGAGTGAATACACAGCCCAGTGCGACAATCGAAGAGAGTGGCTAAGTGATTTTACAGGATCAGCAGGTTTAAATTAAAACCACACGCAAAAAAAAAAAGAGCTAAAAGAATAGTCAGGCTGTGCGGTTGTTACTCAAAACGAAGCACTTTTATTCACAGACGGTCGATACTTTCTTCAAGCGAACAATCAGTTGGATAGCACACAATGGAAGCTGATGAAACAAGGAATGCCAGGTGTGCCCAGCTGGCAAGACTATGTGACAAAACATTTGCCTGTTCGTGCATCTGTCGGTATTGATCCTTCTGTGATCAACGTTGCACAAGCTAAACAACTCGAAGATGATCTTGCTGCCAAAGGGTCTCGACTGGTATATACAGAGACAAACCTGGTGGATCAGGTACGAGAACAGGTACCAGAACGGCCTCATGAGTCAATCAAGAAGCACCCACTTGAATATGCGGGCAAATCCGCCAGAGACAAGCTACAGGAACTTCGACAGGCGCTCAAGGGTAAATGTAGTGTTCTAAGCCGGCTAGATGAGATCGCCTGGCTATTCAACCTGAGAGGTTCTGATATCCACTGCTGTCCTGTCTTTTTCTCGTACTGTCTAATCACTCCCGACAGAGCCTTTCTATATGTTCAAAAGGATGTCATGGAAGACAAGATAAGAACAGAGCTAGAGCAGCTTGGCATCGAGATACGCAAGTATGATGACATTGTGTCGGACCTGTTGACGTTTGACCATACTATGTTCTCAGTTGATCCCGACGGAACCAACATGTCGATCCTTCAAGCCCTCAATAGAAACTCAGTAGCTTTTTTTTTTATGTACCCAATTTTTGAGGCTTAAACTTTTTTTATAGAACCAAATAGATCTGGAGCCTTCACCAGTTCAGTTACTAAAAGCCATCAAGAACCCTGCCGAACTTAAAGGTTTAAGAGATTGTCACAAATGGGATGGAGCTGCACTTTGTCGACACTTTGCTTGGCTTTCTGAAAAGATAAGCAAACAGGAACAAGTGTGGGAGATCGAAGCAGCGGAGCATTTGGATGATATGCGTCGATGCCACCCGCTTTATGTCGGTCCATCATTTGATACTATTGCTGCGTCTGGACCCAACGGCGCCATCATTCATTACTCACCTACACGCCAAGACTGTAGCAGGATAGATCCTTTTGAACTCTACCTGTGTGACTCTGGCGGGCACTACTTGAACGGTACGACTGATGTCACTCGTACATATCTCTTTAGTGGAGAACCTAGCCTGTTTCAGAAGCGAGCATTCACTCGTATATTACAAGCCCATATTGCAATAGATCAGGCTATCTTTCCAGAGGGAGTCACAGGTGAAAAAAAAAGAGGGGCTTTCAATAAAGAAAAAGACGCTAAATAGTAAACAGGCTATCAGTTAGATTCAGTTGCTAGACAACCATTATGGAAAGATGGTCTAGACTTTAGACACGGTGTTGGACATGGCGTTGGCGCCTATTTAAATGTTCATGAAGGGCCTCATGGGATAGGAAGTAGAAAGGCATACGATCAAGTACCGTTACAAGCTGGGATGATTGTCACGAATGGTAAATAGAGATGTGGTAACAGTTTTCTAGAAAGTGACGTTTAAATATAGAACCTGGGTATTACAAGGATCGTCAATTTGGAATACGTATCGAAAATGTGCTACATGTCCAAAAATCAAGATTTGAGCATTTCCTTGGCTTTGAACATTTGACATTTTTACCACTTGGATCCAAATTGATAGATAGCCAATTACTAAATTCAGAAGAAATAGATTGGATCAACAGGTATCACTCCGATTGCAGAAATAGCATAGAACCATTTTTAGGCGACAGTAAAACATTAGCTTGGTTGGAAAAACAAACTGAGCCTATGTGATTAAAAATAGATACTTAATTAAAATCATTGGTTAAACGGGACTTGTGACTCGAAAATCTCCCTTTTCTTTATCTCTCTTCAATATCTCCTCTCTCTCTCTTTCTTTCTTTTTTTCTTAATCTGGCCTGTTTGTCTTTTTGATACACACCTTCGAAAAGATATGCTTCCACCCTTTTTGAAACATGATGTAAATAGTAATCGAACATCGAATGGAGAATATATCCCAAAACATAGAAAGCCAAGCCAGACACATACAGAGATGCTGCTAGAGCTAGGATCGCCCAGGAGGGATTCAAAAAAAAAGTATTATAAACCATCAAAGAGTAACACCAATAACAACAACAAATGGTTAAAACTGTTTCTTGTCTTTCTGGGCCTTCTCTTTCTTTTTGGTTACCTTCCCTTTTTCAGATTTGTCAAAACTAACGACAATCAATCGTTCATCTCATTTTCAAGAGAGCCTTCAAAGGAAGTAGTGAGAGACCAAATGATCCTGTATCGTATCATTGGCAACGACCTGCCTCCACGACACAAGGAAGGTCAGACCCTATCGAATCTACAGTTCATTCTGGACCACGAGCCGACTTTCCCTAACACGCGCAAGATATTCGTGTTGAACCGTATTATCGATCCTGTGAATGAAGCGACGATCATTCGGCTGTTGGACAGGTACAACATGGAATACATTCGTGTGCCCTTTGACGAAAAGGAATATGAACAACTTGATTTTCAGCTCGAGTCGTTTCCAGATGCCGATTTTCTCCACTCTGACGATTACAGACGATACTCTAAAGTGGCCAAATTACGAGCCTTGGATTATACCTATCATAAAAAAAATCTTTATGCCATGAATAATGTAAGTTGTCATCTTTATTTTGTCACTTGTCGGTAACACATTTATAGAACGGTGGGCGCAACACAGCTATCCAGCACGGTAAAAGCATACCCAACGCCAAATGGATCATGCCCTTTGACGGAAACTGTTATCTGAGTAATAACGGGTTCAAGGAGATTAGAGCTCAATTAGAAAAATATGGCAAGGACACCAAGTACTTTGTGGTGCCCATGACACGATTGCTCAATAACTCTGTGCTACTCAACAATTTGGACGAAAGACCCAAGACACCTGAAGAACCGCAGATCATATTTCGTTACGATGCTTCAGAAGAATACAACCTCAACATGCGCTACGGCCGTAGGAGCAAGGTACATAAAAGGGAATATGTATAAAACAAAAAGGATTAACACGATGTAGCTTGAGCTATTGTGGCGTTTAGGTGCACTAGAGAACCGTCGACTGAACCGACCGACAGTACCTTGGGAACCAGCAGAGCGTCCGTACAGTAAAGACAAGGGCAACTTCAAGAACATTGGCTGGGTCTTCCGCTTGTTCTCGGGAAACCCTCAACAGGAAGAAAACAAAAAGGAAGCATCATCGATTCGAGCGTTCAACCGATTACTGGCAATCCAAAGCTCTCTGGACAGTCTGGACGAATCAATCGCTCGCCGTACGTTCCGCCACGACAAACTATTTCTGTACAACGAGATCGACGTCAATCAGAGACGATATGACTACTGGACGAAGCATAAGGAAGTGACATTGGCGGTCGAACGACTCGAACAGGCTGCCAATGAGGTGCTCGAAGGAAGCCAACAGCGACTGGCACCCATCTCTTCTACAACACAGAATGGTATGCCATTTGAGACCGTACCCGAAAAGGACGAATTGGGCCCACTCTCGCAAAATGTGACAATCCTGACACTGGCTCAGTACTTGCTCGGTAACGAAAAGTATGGAAGAGGCGCAGCCAACTTGATCCGCGTGCATTTTTTGAACGAATACGCTGTGGAGGATGAAGATGAATACAATTCTGCGCGACGTATCCCAGACGACAGCCACCTCTTGGACTTTCTGTCCGATCAAGGTTACTCGTTCCCTAGTCTCAGTCGTGTGCCTCATGTAGTGCCCAAGTACAGCAACAGCCGGATCTTGAACACCTCTGATCTGACCAAGACTGATCTTTCTTCTCTCCTTGACTGTATACGTCTGCTTCGAAAGATGCAAGTCCTCACACACAAAGAGTACATTGACCTACAAGCAATCACTGCCGAGTTCTTGGAATACCTCGTCACTTCGCCCACTGGCATTCACCTCGCTCAGATGACAGATCACCGCGGTGTGCTTTATGATCTTCAAGTCACAGCGATGGCAGCGTTCACAGATGACGTCCGTCTCTTCTTGCGTGTGGCTAATCGATGCCGCATGCGTATCGGCAAACAGTTCAAGGAAGACGGCACACAGCCATACGAAGAGACGTCCACTCGCACTCGCCTGTTATCATCCGGTAGTAGTGATCACCAAGTCGAGCGGAGAGCACTGCTTCATTATCAGACCCTCAACCTTCAGTACTGGACATTGCTCGCTCGAGGCATTCAGAACGCAGGTATCGCCAAAGACATCTGGCACTACACCGCAGCCAACGAAGGTCAAATCTCTCACGCCGTCGTGCGGCATCTCCAAACATACGCAGACACCCTTCCCACACTCTCACCTGCTGACGCAGACTTTGCCAGATCTCGCCTCAGACCCTTGGCTTACATGGCTCAAGCCGCGTTCCGTCACAGTCATGAGAAGAAAACGCCAATAGATGACCGGGTGAAGGCGAGAACAGAACAAGATCGTGAATGGATCGAGCGACATGTTAGTCTGTTTGGTGATCAATGGAGCGCTGAACCGTTAGAGGAAGAAGAACTTGTACATGATATTCTCAAAATAATGCATGACGATAAGATCAAAGGACGACTGGGCGTGCCTCCCTTTTGGATGCTCACTTCCACCAATTCCTAAACTTTCCATATTTATATAATGTATTTATCTATACCGCTTCTTTCGTGTACTTAGAATTTCTTTGTTTTATTCATCATCATTAATTAAAAAATCTTTAATTTCATTCAGTAATCGTTCGTCTCGACTTTGTTCTTGTGTATTTTCTACGACATAGGGTGGTAGTAGCTGAATTGTTGTCGCATTGTAGTCCTTAAAGTTGACTTGACAGCTGTAACATAGATGCTGATTGATATCTACTTTATTACCCTTGCAGCCATTTGTCGTTGAGCATGATTGATTATTACCACAGCACCCATCATCAGAAGGCTTTGTATCTGCACCAGGCACTTCTGTCACTGTAATGTGCTTTCTCCATTCCCCAATTCCTGTTTGCCGTGGCCTATACATAGACTTAGTCTCTTTTTTTTTTAAACCCGTTATAAAGCTTACATCAAACACATAGCACAGGTTTGCTTGTAGTCCATATCTTTCGAAGGCGTCAACTTGCCGACCGTTCGACAGACTGTACTGACCGTCGATGGGAAATCTCGTTCTAATCCATTTATAAAGTCTTCTGTCAATCGATCAATTGAGCTCTTGGCAGGCATCATGGTACCAAAGTTGTAGGGAGGAATGACGAGCTTGTCAATACCCGAAAAGTAATTGTAGAATCCAACCTCCTTCGACAGCATATCTTTCATAGGTCGTATAATACCCACACCAAATGTCTGCTCATTATCAACACTGATGTCTAGAGGTAAGCTGTAGCCTCGACCCTTGGCTGTCCAAGAGATCATCTTGATGGCCTGTCTTGTAGCTGAATCCGCAAAGAAGATATAGGTGCAACCCTCACGCTGAGCAACAGTGACAAGCATCTGCATCTTCATGTGCCACAGTAAATCTTCTTTGGCCGTAGTCTTTTTGATGCTATTGAATAATGATTGAAGTTGTTCTTTGTGGTCGACTGAAGGTGTCTTGTATGCATATTCAGCCCAATGTTCTACATACATTTAGTCTCTTTACTTTTTGTATAATTTGTATCTTACCATAGTTGCCATTCTCTGTTCCTTCCGAGTTGAGGTATTTATCAAAATTGACACTCTTTACAAACTGAGGACTAAAGACGTCTTCGATCGGATGACATATAAATTCAAAATTGGGGTAATGCTCCTTCATACGTGCACGTAATGTCTCTGCAGAACCGCTCTACACAATGAAATTAATAAAAGAAAGAGATATTTATCCTATTTCTATTACCATCGAGTCAAACAAGGAGCTTTCATCGATGTGACAGATGACTGCTTCAGGTACGACTTGGATCTTTTTCTTTTCGTTTGGTAGAGTGTGCATAATGTTCTTGGTCAAGTCGACAAGGGATATAGATGATGGTCCACCGGAGCAAGCTAAAAGTACTTTGCCCTTCTTTCTACTGCCATGCCTTAGTCGGATAAGGATAGATCTATACTTTCCTACATATTGATACATGAAACATGATCTATAAAAGAAAATATTAATGATTTGTTTTGAAAAATGTATTTGTTTACTTGCCGACAATAGTAGGCTTGCTTAATGTGAAGCGTAGGTTTTTCTACTTTGCATTTACAGCACTGATCTCTGTTTGATTTGACCATAAGAAAAAAAGAAAAAATTGAAATAAAATGTCATTGGTACAGACAGATTTTGATCTCTTCCTAGAAAGCAGTCACAAGAGCTGAATGTCTGCCACCCACATAGATAAAGGGGAGTGTGCACACAGTACGAATTACTCTTTGGCCATTTTCGGAGGTGTACACTACATGCACCAGAAAATAGGCTAATGCTACAGGTTCTTCTTCTAGGCGTTACATGCGACATCATTTTACAACTTCACGTTACCTAACCTAAGGCTGTCCAGTAAAATATTCTTTAATGTAATTGCACGTAATTTATGGTTCTTTATTGATAGAACTAACAACATAAAATTAAAGTGCAGCAATAAATATATTTTTTATCTTTTCTTAAAGTTTTGTTGGACGGCATCATAGGTGGTGCCTAAACGTAGTCTTTTACAGCTCAAATTTTTGTATTAAGTCCATAGATTCATGGTATCTGTAGTAATTGATGACGCGTCATATCAAAGACCATTCACAAGATGGATTTCTTCCTTATTCTCTTAATAAAAGGATTATAAAGAGCCTCATTCCATCTACGTGTATTCTTATGTTTCCAAGCTAAAACTACTTATTTACCAACTATCACAGTAGTCACAACTAGGTGATAAATCATATGTGGAAGAAGTAGAGAAACAGTAAACGAACAATGAAATTATGCTGTGTCACAAGAAAAGTTTAACAAATAAATTTGCACAGCAAATGTGTGTCTTTCTCCAAATAACAGACTTGAGTCATCATAACAAATGTCCATAATAAATGATTACAGTGTTTAATAATTTATTTCCGACCGTCTTAATTTTAGGTTAAAATCCCTTTATCCAGAAAAATCTTTTATTGAGCCACGTCTCTTTCTCTTTTTTTTTTTTGCAAGATGGCTGATCAAACGTATGAAGGGCTAAAGCAGCAATTATTACAGACACTTAATCCAACTACACAAAAAGAAGGTGTGAAATACAAATAAACATGACTTCAACATGCTGACGTTTGACATTGTAGCTGCTTTCAATTTATCACAAGTCGAAGTTCAGCCTGGATTTCCTTTGGTTCTATTAAAGTTGATTAGTGATGGAGCAGCGGATGGGACACTTCGAATGGCTGCTGCCATTTATTTCAAGAATTATGTCAAACGACACTGGGTTCCTGTAATATATTCCAATGTTTATAGTGTAAAAAACTAATAATATATTAGGATAATGACCAAGCTGTTGATGTCATTCAAGAACCTGATCGTGTTGCAATCAAGAGTCAAATTGTTCAACTCATGATTACAGTGCCTGAAAAGATTCAATACCAAATCAGTGATGCTTTAACATTGATTGCTGCTTCTGACTTTCCTAATCGTTGGGAAGGTTTATTACCTGTAAATAAGAAAATAGACGCGTTTATGAACAAGAGAGCTCATATGTATTGTAGGAATTGATTTCAAAGCTCAGCGCTACGGATTATATTGTCAATAACGGTATTCTCAGTACAGCACATTCGATTTTCAAGAGGTATTGTAAACAAGGCAATCATTTCATTCATTAACAAGAATTATGTAGGTGGAGATCAGCATTTAGAAGCGATGATTTGTTTGCAGACATCAAGTATGTCTTGACCTTGTTCTGTGAGCCTTACTTTCAACTCTTTCAAGTAAAAAATAGAATTGATCAGTAAAGTCTTTTTCTAATATACTTGGATAGATCACGGACAAATTAATCCAAGAAAACGCCAATAATCTCGCCGCCCTTCAGATCTTGTCACGCTCGCTCATTTTGCTCATCAAGATATTCTATGACTTAAACTGTCAAGATCTTCCCGAATTCTTTGAAGACAATATGGCTGCATTTATGACTTTGTTTGAAAAATACCTCATTTATCACAACCCTCTGTTGGCCACAGACGATGAAGAAGAGGAAGGACCCTTGGAACAGATCAGAACCCAGATTTGCTCCGTGTTGGAACTCTATGCCTCTCGTTACGATGAGTCTTATGAACTCTTACCACCTTTTGTACCCATCATTGTCAATTTGCTGACCAGCACTGGAAATGAAATCAAATATGATAATGTAAGTTTTTTAGGTAAAATAGAGGAAGGTGCTGATTCATTTCTAGTTGATCTGTAAAGCATTTTCTGTCTTGACCATCTTTGTTCGACTTGAAACACTCAAACCTATCTTTGACAATGAGGACGCGTTGAAGAATATGTGTGAAAAGATTGCGCTACCCAACATGGCTATTCGAAGTACGTACATTTTCATATAAAAAAACTCTTCTAACTTTTTCTTTGTCTAGCTGTTGATGAGGAACTGTTTGAGGATAATCCCATAGAGTACATTCGCAGAGATTTAGAAGGATCAGGTATAGTTATAATACGTGTGTGTGTGTGCACATTAACTAAACCATCTGTGTAGACACGGATACACGTCGTCGAGCTGCGGCTGATTTCATCAAGGGCCTCTTGGAACGTTACGAGGCAGCAGTGACCAAGATCATGAGCGAGCACATTTACAACTACTTGATGACGTACAACAGCAATCCAACCATGAACTGGAGATACAAAAACACGGCTATTTTCGTGTCTGTAGCCATCTCATCTCTTTCGTCTACAGCACAGCAAGGTGTCACTAAGGTCAATGCGTTGGTGGACGTGATCAACTTCTTTTCTCAGCATGTATTGGTCGACTTGCAATCCGATGTCAACAGCGAGTTACCCATCCTGAAAGTAGACGCGATCAAATACGTGTATACCTTTAGAAACCAGCTGACAAAGGAACAACTCTTGACCGTCTTTCCTCTGCTTGTCAAACACCTTGAATCATCCAACTATGTCGTCTATACCTATGCTGCTATTGCAATCGAACGTATCCTGTTCATTCGACAAGGAAAGATGATGCTGTAAGTTTTACATATAGTTTGAAACACACAGTACTCATAATTTATTAGCTTTACCTCGGAAGACATCAAACCCTATGCAGAAACTCTTCTTTCACAACTCTTTAGATTGATCGAACTCGGCCAGACACCCGAAAAGTTATCAGAAAACGATTATCTGATGAAAGCCGTGATGCGTGTGATCATCATCAGCCGAAGCGACATGATCCCCTATGTGAACGTGATCATGGGCAAACTGACCCAGATCTTGTCGGTTGTCAGCAAGAACCCAAGTAACCCACGATTCAACCACTACATCTTTGAGAGTATTGGTGCTTTGATCCGATTCATCTGTCCCACATCGCCTGCAGCCCTTGAAGAGTTTGAAAAGATGTGTTTTGGCCCCTTCCAGACGATCCTGTCCCAAGACGTTCAAGAATTCTCGCCCTACGTCTTTCAGTTGTTGGCGCAACTCTTGGAACAGCACAAGGGCACGGAGCTGACTCCTTCTTACATCGCCCTTTTGACCCCCGTGCTCAATCCTGGTCTTTGGGAACAAGGAAATATCCCTGCTCTCGTTCGATTGGTTCAGGCCTATCTCGATAAAGGTGCTACTACGATTTTGTCCAATAACCAACTGGAGCCCATCCTCGGTATCTTTCAACAGAAACTGGTTTATTCTCGTCAATTTGATCAGTATGCCATGCTCTTGTTACAGACGATCTCTCTTCGTGTGCCAATGTAAGTCTATGTGATTGTTTTATAATAGTATATTAATTTCTTAAAGACAAATCCTGGGCAAATACCTGCCTGCGCTACTTTCTGATGTACTCAAGCGACTTCAAAGCAAAAAGAAGGGGCAACATATTGCGTTTGATAGATTCACGAGAACCTTTACGAACTGGATGACGATGTGTTTCTTGAATGAAAATATGGGAGGACCTGATACGATTATTCGAGTTTATGAAGGATTACAACCAGGGTAAAAAGACAAATATATATATATATATATATAAAACCAAGACTTACTCTTTTTTTTAGACTCTTTGGACAAATCATGAGTTTATTTGTTCTTCCAGATTTGAGCAAATTGGTTGAACCTGTCGAACGAAGAACAGGCGCTGCTGGCATCATTCATTTGTTGTGTCGTTCTGAAGTCATATTCCAAGCGCCCTATGTGAACCAGCTATGGTTAAGTACGCTCTTGGCTCTATTGAAATTACTCGAACTGCCTTTATCTGTGGATGCGGACGAGGTGGACGAGTTGTATACATTTGATCTAGAGGAAGGAGGGTACCAAACGTCGTTTGCCAAACTGGCCACGGCCAATCCTGTACCTGAGGATCCTACCAAGGACTTGCCTCCTAGCCACATCTATCTTGCCACTCAATTGGCAAGTTTGCCACAAGCTAAGCGTGACCTATTGAAGCCACTGATTGGACAGTCTCAGGAAGCGATGACTTATTTACCAAGATACTTTGAAGAAGCAAAAGTCCCATTCTTGTGACGTGTAAATTAAATAAAACTTTCTTTCTCTTTAATGATTGCAAAAACATTGGAAATTAATTGGCATGACGGACAAGCCATCTACTCGATTGATTTCTCTTTGGACAGTTTAAGATATGCTACGGCAGGAGCAGATTGTTCAATTCGAGTAAGACCTAAAAAGAGATTCAATATATACATGTTTACCCTGTTAGATTTGGAACATTCAAAAACGACCTGAAACTCATAATGCAGTTGATGTCAAAATAAAAGATTCAAAGCAACTGGTCAATTCGTTACCTGTACATATTGATTTTCTATCAGAACTTAAACGACATTCTGCACCTGTGAACGTGGTTCGATTTTCACCTCAAGGCGATTATCTTGCATCTGCAGGCGATGGTAAGATTCATATTTATACATTAAGCGATTCAACCAAACCATTCGATATATATAGATACGTGTATTATCATTTGGAAATTATTACCTGAAATGAATGATCATTGCGAGTATGAAAAGGAGACGTGGTCTGTAGTTCATATGTTTTAGTGAGTATACATCATCAAAATAATGACCCCCCATTGACATCTTGTAGTGGACATAACAAAGAAATTTACGATCTAGCTTGGTCTCCTTGTGGACGATACTTTATTACAGCTTCTATTGATAATACGGCACGCGTGTGGAGTTTATCAGAAAGTAAAAGGGAAAATAATGTTTGAACAATAGAAACTAATATAATCTCTAGAGGCATGTATTCATGTCATCACCGACCACACACACTACGTCCAAGGCGTCTCATGGGACCCGTCCGGCCAATTCGTCGCAACCCAAAGCAGTGATCGATCGGTGAATATATATCCCTACACCAAAAAGAACAACAAGATCATCTTTAGTTCACCAAAAAAGTTCACCAAGCTGGAAAAGTCTCAGGAATCGACCTTTCGGTTGTACCATGATGAGAACTTGGTTTCGTTTTTCAGGCGACTGTCGTTCAGTCCTGATGGCGGACTATTGATCACACCTGCCGGATTAAACAAGACGGATACGTCAAGTGAAGAAGAAGATTTACAAAACTGTGCCTATGTCTATGCTCGAAACATGCTACAAAGGTAATAAAAAAAATCTATAAGCCAATCTAATTGTTATTAGTGGTAAGCAACCTATCGGACTCATCGGTAATTATCCCAAACCGTCCATTGCGATCCGATGGTGCACGACATTATTCAAGAAAAGAAGCAATTTTCCATCGGCATTTGCTCTACCATACCGTATGCTCTATGCCTCTGCCACTCAAGACTCTGTCTATATTTATGATACCCAGCAAACACGACCGATATGTGCCATTTCGGGGATGCATTTTGCACCGATCACGGACCTCGCTTGGTCACACGACGGGTCGATCCTCATGTTTTCGTCCGCAGACGGATACTGCTCCACTATTGTCTTTTCAGATCAAGAATTGGGTATTAAACATGAGAAACAAGTCGAGCGTGTGTCCGAACAGGATGTCGAGATGATGGATATTGCTCCCAAGAAACGTGTCGAACCTCCCGTCAAGAACCTGGACATGACCAAGAAACGAAGAATTGCACCCACTTTGATTTCGACGTTGATGGATGGAAAGAAACAAGAAAACAAGAAAAGGATTACACCCGTATTGATCAGTAGTCATAAAGGATAATATGTTTATTAAACAAGTACGGCATCTTCCATTTTAACAAATAAACCACGATTAGGACTGGTCTGAAAATAATGGTTACCTTGAATCGATCCGTCCGTGTTTCCAACTGAGTGTAGAAAAAATTAATAAATTGCATGAATTTTTTTTTTTCTTATACCTCTCGAATCCAGTTCAATGCCCAACCATTCACCTTGATCAAAGCAAACAGGACCTATATACTTTACGACACCAATGATGGGCATCGGACGTTTATACAACTTAACTCTAGATCCAACTTGAATAGCACAACTCTCATCTTCATGATCCTCAGATGACGAACGACGTTGAAAGTGCATCCATTTTGACAAATGATTCTTTAAAGCTGTTGCCGAAAGAGCAGATATCCAGTCATCAGGTGCTGACCAACGTCTCTTATTGACTAGTTCAGTAGAGCGCGGATGCGGGGGGATCTCAAACCTTAGTGTTCTCTGTCTCTTCGGTTCCTCTTCCAAGGCATCCATGCGAGCTTGCGTTTCAAGAGTTAGGAGTAGCTCCATATCATTCGCTGTAATGTCATTCAGTCTACCTTGAAGAATCTCATGATTATGTTGAGGTGGATCTGGTTTGCTGGTGCTTGGTATGGGTTGACCCTTTTTGACAAGGATGCCCTCAGGTATCTTTGGGTCATTGACAATAATATGAATATCTCCTGTAGATTGTGTCTTTCTTAGTGGGTTTAACGAAAATGGCATTTTTATATATATTTAT